CCCACTTTCGAGCTTAGCTTATTGTTTTACAAGAGTCGGTATGTTTTCAAAGAGTAGATGATAGTTTCAACCACTCTCTACTTGATGGCGACACGACAACGTGAAGCAGCGAAAATGCAAAATGCCCCCCCCCCAGCCAAACTGCGTCAGAAATTCACCCGTGACGCGCTTAAGCCGTGTTCTTTCATAGGTTCGAGCCTAGCGAACAGCGTCATAGTATGAGCCGATGCAAGACCCTTCTCCAAGGACTTCACTCTACTATTCCAAGGCTGCCTAGAGGTAAGGCGCACAAAAAAAGGTTCGAACCTGAGGGATAGATCGCGACCTCGTCTCCAGAGTGAAGACAAGGATACATTGGCCTCTAGGGAATACTACACAACCTTATAACATTATCGTTTACTGAAGCAGATTAATTTATAAGTCTGCCCCTGAGGTAATTAGACTCCAAAAGCTGGAATATTAACCCGCTCTAAGCTAAAATGCCCTCCGAAAATGCAACCAACACATGCCAGTTTCAGCGCTGGCAGGCGTAGAGCCTGCTCCAAGCAGTGCCGTCAGGCGAACGTGACATTCATGTTCAGGGGTCGAACTATCCCATGGGACAAGTTTTCTGCAAGTGTTTTGGCAGGCTGTGGTTTGAAGCCAAGAGGATGTGATGCGGGGGGTCAAACTATCACAAGCGTTAGAGGAGAGACAACCTAAACCCGTCTTCTGTTGGAAAAATTTCAATCAAAATTCTTAATTCTGAACAGAGCGGCAGTACATGTAAACAGTTTCGAAAGGGGTTACGTAACCCTGCTAGTTGAGCAAATTGACGATTGCTTTCAGAACAGGAACAGGGACGTGAATGTCCTCCTTGTAGACGCAACAAACGGGGGAGGGGTCGTATTTGGAGACGCAGAGGGAGGGGGAGTCGGGGGTCGTATTGGTATAAGAAGATTTTCTCTTGATAGTTGATTCACTTGTTTACGGACAGCCATAAAGGGGGGGGTCGCATTAGGTCGCTGTTGGAAGAGGACTGCAAAAGACTATAAAAGATTTCCGATGGGGATGAAGAAAATGAAGTTAAATTCTGGACGAGCTCCTCCCGCTGACAGAAACTTTTGGGGAACACACCAAGTTTGGAAAATCTGGGAAAGTGATAGGTAGCATGGAGAGGAGGGGGTCGTATTTTTTAGTTATTGATCACAACGCGATGACGTGCCCTGTTTCAAAAGCCGTCCTGATCCCTGAACACGACTTTTCTTATCTTTTCTTAGCGCTACCACGTATATAATTCCTTGATTGCCGCCGTAAAACGCTCTGCACTAAAACCTTACGTCAACATTGCGCTTTGATAGCGCTGGAGTGCTATTTATAATGATTCCGCCAATCTTTACAAGGAGATACAGCCCTGCTGATCGATAAGATATGTCTTCTCAAATAGGAAAATCGCTACTTACCGACTCAAGTCGTAATTCATCGAGTTAGGCAACTGCTCAGCCATGCTTCGTTGATTAGCCGGAAGCGGTGCCATAAACCCTGTGCCGAACGAACCTAATATGAGAGATTTATTGCATTGGCTTGGACATAATTTCCACTTTCAAATACGCGTTCAAACACCACTAAGAGCTCATGTAATCAAACGAACCAGCATCGTCTAGATCGAGTCCCGGCGAAAAGCTACCGTTTGGTGATTCCGAACCGCTATCAGCAGAACTGCTACTGCCAGCTGTTGATTCACCAGTACTACCATAGCTAGGCAATGACGACAGACGTTGAAGCATCGGGCTGCCTACTTAAAATGGGGCTATGAATATTCAACATGAAAACGGATAAAAATAGCAAGATATGACGTACATAGCGCATTCGTTTGTGCTCCACCTAACGACCTACTCATCGGGGCTCCGTATGACGTTGGAGACAGTTGTTGCGAGCAGGTCATTGGAGCGAACGTGTTGTGATTCGAGCGTATCGACGGTGTGCACGACGATGGTGGATTCGGAAGATTCGCGAGAAGATCCGTCTCGCTGCAATTATAAACAAATTTAGTTTAGCCACGTAACAACCAAAATCTGGGTTATCGAAGTGACTAGCGCCATTCCGGGGCCCCTAGTTATTGCAAAGTCAAAGCCCTCCTGACATTTTAGGAGATTTTTCTTCTACCTCTGACTCGCAGAAGTACCGCAAATCATTGCTCCATTGTGTTCAGTCGAGTCGATAGAAGGTTCCTATCAGGGCACATCATTGGTTGGGGATTTTACTCGAGTCCGTAGGACCCCGCTTTTTTGGGAGGAGGGGTTGGAACGACCCCCCCCCCCTCCGGCCCCC